AATTTTGTTAAAGTCAATCCCTAGTTAGGTCTTTCAACTTAGACTTAGAGAGTTTGTTAACTCTATGTAAGTGTCATTGTTATGAACACTTATTCCCCTTGGAACCTTAACCATAGTAAAGTGTTCTTCATTCTTAGTGAGGTAAACTATGATTGCTCTGATTCTATCCTAGTTAGGATATGTAGGCACAAGATGTAATGTCTTGGCGAGCATACTTAGTATATATATCTCAGGTCTTTACCTTAACACCCTTTTCCCTTAGCAAGCAAGCTTCAACATAAACAAAAACACTAACAAGAGGTTCATGTAGAGTAATACAGATACTTAGGATGCTAACACCTTCCCTAAGTATAACCAACTCTTGAACCTTAGATCTCTAGCTTTATAGTTACATAGCGCACTTAGGGTTTTCTTCGTTCTTTATCCTTTTCCTTTGGATAAATCAAGTCTCGGTGGTGAACTTCATGATTTGTGATTCAAGTTAATTAATAGCTTAATATCCGATTCTCATCGCAACACCATCAAGAAGAAATAAAGGGGTATGATAATAGAAGTAGAACTAGACACCTAAGCTCCAAAGGTTTAAACCTACTTTCCCAAAAATATCCTACCCGAACATAAGGCAATATACAACCAAAAAAATCCTTAAATATGTGTGTTTTGATTTCTTTGATGAATTATATTAGAACATGATCAAGATAAGTATAAACTATTTTGCATGTTTATTAAGAGATTACCTTATCCGTTGAGTGAGACAAGGTGAGATGAGAGACAGGTTGAGTACTCGTCAAAGTTTGAGGACATTTTCTGAATTTTTTGGATGGAAGTTGAAAGCTAGAATGATGGTTAGGTTAAGAAAAAAATATATGGTAATGTTCAATTGTTATTGTGCAAATTGTTTTCTGTTTGGAATGTGCAGTTTCAGGCAAGTTACTTGAGGACAAACAACGATTCAAGTTTGGGGTTGTGATGACATTCCGTCATTGCATGATTTCAGTTGATAAAACGGATCAAAACAAGTTAAAGAGGAGCAAAAATGAACAATAAATATCAAAGAATAAGGAAAAAATAGCTAAGTGTGAAGAAATAAGGACTTAGTGTAAAATCAAGTGAAAAAGGGAGCAAAAACGTGCAGCATCCTGCGCATGATGTAGGTCATCATGTGCGTGATGACCTTTTTTTCTAGGCTTTTCTTACGCGTTCTATCCATTCTGAAGTCTTTTTAAGGGGCTTTTGGCACTTTTTCAAGGGTTACAAATTTCTACACAGCAAGTACGAGTTTACAACACCATAAGTGATTTTTAAGAGCATTTGAAGCCATTGGAGGCCAATCCTTCAAGGGATCTCTTATGCAAACATTCTTAATTGATTTTGGTATTGTAATTTATATTATGAGTAGCTAAATCTCTCTAGGTTAGGTTGTGTTTGATGAACCTATTTTGATATTGTTGGAGCATACGTTTGATTTTATATTGCATGAGTAATTTGATCTATAATTCTATTCAATTGCATATTTTTCTTAATGCTTTTTATGTGAGATACTCTTTTAATCTGATTTTGGGCACATAGAAAATACTAACCCTTATTTTATATGTTGGACTTAGAGCAATCTTTGTGCTTATGCTGGTTGAATAGAGATAAGAGACCCTGAGTAATGGCTTAGGAATTGACAATTTGTTGCATTGTCTAATTCTGCTTACGCTGGTGGACTAGGAATAGAAAATTCGAGTAGTGATTAGTGAGCTATATCGCAAGGGATTGATTATAAAGATTTTGTTAATTCCTCATGGGATTAAAGTGGCAATATCATTCATGTAATGCATCAAACATCAACAATAGAGAGATATGAGATTTTATACACAACATGATCACTTTAGTAATTTTATTAAAAACACTTTATTTTAGTTTAGCAATTCAAACATGAACCCCCCATTTAGTATTTTCTATGAATGCACAATTTTGTGTTATTAAATAGCAGTCCTTATGGAGTGAATATTTTTTATTACTGCGAGGGATGTCAAATTTAATGTTGGCATCACTTGAGGGATATAACTTAATACTCCTGGTGGTGGCATTGTTCGACTATGATTACTTATAGCTAAACCTAAGGCAGGATATGGGTTGTAAGGTGATGTGATAGCCATTGCGTTATCTGCATAAGTCGACACACTATTATGTATGCCTACCATCATCGTTAGTGGCATACCATGCACATATTCTCTATTACTTATAGGTAGTGAAAAAATTAGAAGGTGAGGTAGCATAGGGTCTCCAAGAGTTGGTCTTATAACCGTAGGGGTAAGAGAGATAGTCCTTGATTGTGATGGGGGGATCAACCCATCGAACAGTGTTGACAATATTGATATCGATGCTACCATCGAGGTGGTTATTTCAGCAAAAGCCGAAATAGACACATTTTCAGTCATCGATCATATGAGTTGCTCTCCTGTATTTTGGGTAAAATTCTGAGGGTTAGAAGTATATGGGTTATTCAAAGGTGGACGCGTCATTTTAGGGAGGACTTTACCACTTCTCAAATGCATACATACATAAACATTGGGAACATTTCATGCATGAAGAACAATTTGAAACTTAATAAACACAACACTTGTAAAAATTTTAAAATTCACACAAAAGGGTCTCACCGGGTGTGTCAATTTGTTTACCGGTGTTTTTGGTAAACAATCACTTAGTTTTGAATAATTACTTGCAGGACCTAACTAAAAAATCCTATGACATTTTGTGCATACTTTCTGGAGAAAAAGAGTGTCCAAGTGTCGTTGTGAGTTTAAATTTAAGTGCCTAATAAAGTAACAAGAAAAAGTTTAAAGGTGAAAAAAAGTTAAAGGTCTCGACTATGTCAAAACCCACTATGGCATGAATTGGGGAAAGTAATAAAGGCTAAAACAAAATAAAGAAAATGTAACAAAGTGATTTTGATTAAATAAATGAAAGTTGGTGTAGAAAATCATATATATTCCTCACAAACTCGTTTCTCGCTTTAACTTGGGTATTTTGAGTTCTATACAGATTTTGTAACGAAATTGACACTATGATTCCTAACACTAAAACCACTATATATACTAATAATAAATAAGTGCCTATAATAGAAATATCTTTAGCGTTCGACACGTAACCCTTTGTGTAACTTCCAATATTCTAACTTATTCCCACATGCCTTCGATGTCTGGATAAGATAAAAAAGCAATTACTTAATCATATCCTTTTACCTCGTCTCAACTGTCATGATTGATGGCTCAACTTGTCGAGTTATAAGGAGAAACATTCTCAAAACTTATGAAAAATGCTAAGTCTAAAACCCATGGTCAGCGTGTCGAACTCGACATCATGATCAAACACTATTCTTGTCGCACATATAACCACATGTTCTCATACTTAACTAAGTATTGTCTCAACATCATATTCTCTCTATCGAACTTAACACGTCGAGAATTCTATGCTAACAATAAGTATTTTATCATATTTATCCAATATTCCATCCTTTTTTAGGCGAAGTCAGACTTAATCACTCACACTCAAACTCCAACAATCTCCCCACAAGTGTGAATCACCCACATCACCAGCCTTAATCCACACTAGAATTTTATTCCCGCTCCACCACCGAGTTTAACCATGACTCTGATAACACTTATTGGAAAAAACTAACATAGAGAAAATAAAAGAACATAAGGACATGATGTGGAAACTCCAAAACCAGAGAAAAACCCACAGTCGTTGTTAAATTACAATAAGAGAATAACATTATGTGAAAATTGTTAAACCATATAATTTGTTCTTAACCACCCCAAGTCCCCTAGTACACCATACCACCAAAGCACATATCTAACTACATCTCATACCACTTTAACACAAGAGTATAAGAGAATAAAAAAAGTCAAATATAAATTTAAAATGCTTTTGACTATTGCATTTGTAATGAAGAACTTGAATCTTTTATATACCTTTGGACTCCCTATTCCTTTACAAAACTAAGCGATGCAGAACTTTTACAACTTGTATATTTTCAACCAACCCCAACAATCTTCGCCTTGATTTAAAATAATACACCAGTTTCCATTGTCTTCACCGATAATTGTAATTCAAAAGAACTATCATACTTCACCATAAAATGTAGTCATTTGTAGTTAAACCACTTTAAAATTTTACATTGTCATCATCAACAATCATATATTCTATCATGAACAATATATTTTACTTGAAGATAAACTACTCCAAAAATTTCACATGTCGAAAATCAAGTTGAAAACTTATGGTGCAACTTTCTTGTTGGCAGAAAACTCTTCAACCGCCGACATAATATCACAATACACCTTGCATCAATATCATGTACTAAGCACTAACCAACAACTTGTGCAATCCCGATTGCCCAAACATAATCTTTGACTTGAATTTTTCACAATCTACATAATAAAATTTGTGACTGCAACTTAATAACTCTTTCACAACACCATCCTTCCAATAAAATTGCAACTACAAAACAGATTAAGAATTTCTACACTCAAATTGAATCAAACCTTAAGGCAATGAACATACGAGTTAAATTCTTATATATCTAACATTTTTTTTTCTTTCAATTTCTAATAAATGTAATAAACAAATTCCATCACTATACTAAGAAAATCAGTATGCAAATATACTAGTTCAGTTGGGATCCAATAGTTTAGATCCTTTGGTTATATATTTTAGAAGTGTCCTTTATTAGAATTCAGTTTCCTTTCTTTGTTTTTTCTCTATTTTTTTTTTTTCATTTTTTTTCCTCCCTTTCTTTGTCCTTTCTATCGTATAACCCAAACTAAACCAGCGTCATGTTATTCTTGGTACCCCCGTCGTGGTTGCAGGCAGTTTTCAAATCTCGCCCCTAAACCCACCATTCACCATATCCATTTCATCTCAAGTATTTGCCGCTACTCAGTACGCACCATCCCCAATCTCTCTCCGCTTCGCACACGTTTGTTGACTTCAACATTGACAATATCGAAATGGAGAAAAACGAAGAAACTCCTCTCTTCTGGTTCGAAACCTCCAACTCCGTCTGTAGCCGCCACCAATTTCAACCCGACGGTCAACTTTCAGTACGCCATTTCAATTCAATTCAACGATTTTCTATAATCCATACTTTAACAACACTTGCACAGTCTTGTAAAATTAACCACTCATTGCTCTTTCGCTTTCGCTTTCACTTTGTTACCCTAACAAATGTTTATGGTTTCTCTATAGGTGATTCTCGTTGATGATTCTAGACCCTTGTATCAAAAGGTTGCTGGTTCTTTCATGAACAAGTTTTTCCCCTCTGGTTATCCATACAGGTACGTTGAATTTTATTCTTTATTTTTGCTGAGATTTATGATGCAGTTGTAGTTATAGCTTAGTTTTCAGTGATTCAATTTCATGTTTTGTTTGTAGTGTGAATGAAGGATATCTTAGATACACGCAGTTTCGAGCAGTGCAACATGTTACTAGTGCTGCAATGTCAGTGCTATCAACTCAGGTGCACTTTCTCGTAAAGTCTGAAAATTATAGTGAACCATGTAGATTATTTTTAGTGCAAATGTTTTAAAAAGCGGTCTGTTATTGCGAAAATGGTCGCGACAAAGTGGTATTGGAAGGTGCAGATACCGATACCGTTATTTACCGTTTTTATGATGAAAAAGAAATTATGGTTATTCAACACATGTGCCGACCGAAATCACAAAAGCCTTTACGCGACCGCGTGATCGTTATTTAAAACCTTAGGTGTCGCATTAGTCTTATCAAAACAAAATAAACATACATAAATGCATATTTGTTAGTCCATTTGGCCATTGAATCTGTACTTTCTTAGTTAATTTGGTATTTGAATCTGTCTTCCCTTGGTCGGTTTAATCTATAAAATTACTAACAAAAGACACTCTTGGGGATTTTTTTTTGTTGCTATTTTGATACGTTTAAAGACTATAATGACAATGCCTCAAATTTGAAAATCAAAATGACTGATGAATGTTTAGCCTTCTTTTTATTCATACTCTATTTATTCCTAACATAATAAAAATAGCAGTATGTACTCCTGCTTAATATTATCTGGTGTTGTTGTGCAGTCACTGCTAATTGCTGCAGGGTTGCGGCCGACTCCTGCTCAGGCAACTGCTGTTAGCTGGGTAATTTGTAATAATTTGCTATTGACAATTTCTTAGACTAGTAATTGTGGCATATGTTCAATATACAATGTTGATGTTACTTGCATCCAGATTTTAAAGGATGGAATGCAACATGTAGGGAAGATAATATGTAGTAATTGGGGCGCAAGAATGGATTCTGAGCCTAAACGATGGAGGTTGCTGGGTATGCAATTGAGCTAGAGCTTTCCTTTTCATCCTACCCCTTTCTCCTCTTCTTATATTAGTTGTAATTTGTTTAGAGTACAAGCTGTCTTATTGTGATTAACTCCACATTTTGCAGCTGACGTGCTTTATGATTTGGGCATGGGCTTGGAAGTGCTTTCTCCATTATGCCCACATCTTTTTCTTGAAATGGCAGGCCTAGGAAATTTCGCCAAGGTTTATATTTTTATAAGTAATTGCACGTTATGACATTTACTGCAATTTATTTTAAGTTGATTCTGTGCTGATTGTTTATTAAAGCCTATGTACGTCATTATTAAGAACTTTAGCATCCTATTCTAGATTCGTAGCAAATATATAATTTTTTTAAGACATTAACGTCTCATTCTGTTATTATGGAGTTAACAGGGGATGGCTGTTGTTGCAGCCAGAGCAACACGATTGCCTATATATTCCTCGTTTGCTAAAGAGGGGAATCTCAGTGACCTATTTGCTAAAGGGGAGGCTTTTTCAACTCTCTGTAATGTTGTGGGAATTGGAATAGGAATTCGATTAGCTTCTACTATCTGTGCATCAATGCAGGGAAAGGTATAGAGATTTTATTTGTTTGTTCTTTGGCTAGTGTTAGATTTAATTTTCAACTTGTGTCGTACAGTTATTTTGTGCTGACAATATCTGTGATATTCTTCTTGGTTGTGGACTTGTGGATTATTATACATTCTATGGAATCCATTTAAAGCGTGTTCAATGCTAGATACCAATTTACTCGGAAAAAAAAGAAAACAATTTTCAATTCTAGAAAAAAAATGGATAGTAACAGGGGAACAATTTATTCTGCGATATTGGACTTATGAGGGAACTCCAGATTTAAGCTTCATGGTTATATTTACTGATGGCACCAACAAGTTTGGGCCAAGTCTCCCTCTTCTACGGATCTTAACATGACACGTTTGTTTAACGCAATTAATTAGTTCTTGGGCTCCAACAAAATTATTTGGGTAGATTACACTTTACCCTTTAATAATTTAACTGTTTTTTTGAATGACCCCCCTGAACTCTTTTTTGTGTCAGTTGGTCATTTGTCCTCTCCTTTCAGCTATACATATATACTCAGTGTCTGAAGAGATGAGAGCTACTCCTATCAATACTTTGAATCCACAAAGAACTGCAATGATAGTGACTGATTTTCTCAAGGTCTGGTTTGGATTATTGTAGTAATGAAGACTTGTTTTGTTGTTCCTTTTTTTTATTTGGAAGAATGTTATACTGTTTGACTGTTAATTGAATTCCAAAACAGGCAGGAATCGTATCAAGCCCTGCTGACCTTAGATATAAGGAAAATTTACTTTTTCCTGTGAGACTCAAAGATGCTGGGAATGTAAGAGTCGGAAAGTCTTTACACGAGGTTATTAAGCCATCGAAGCTTGTTGAATTAAAACAAGTATTCCCTGAGGAGAAGTTTCTTTTAAATCGTGGGGGGATATGCATTGACATGGTATTGAAACAAGATGCTAGTGGTGAAGATGCATTGAGAGGCTGGCTAGTTGCTGCATTTGCTGCACAAATTGAGAGTTCTTCCCATGAGCTTAGTGTTGGTGTTTTGCAAGACGCCTATGACAAAATGAATGGAGTCTTTCCTGTATTTTTAAAAGAATTACAGAACAAAGGGTGGCACACTGATCGTTTTCTGGATGGAACCGGTAGCCGCTTCACATTTTAGTGTTTTTATGAAAATCCCATATTGGTTTCAGTAAAGATTTTACTCATTATTTGAGAGATTTTGATGTACTCTTAATGGAGTAAATTCAATGGTTCATAATACATTATTAACTGTACATTTGGCTATTATTTTTAAGAATAGTATTTAAACGTACTGTTTTTTTTTTTTCATAATAATGTAAAGACTAACAATAACTCTGATCCGCATAAATTGATATAAAATTTCACATTCCTGTCCCCTGTAGTTATGCTCACATAATTTATTGGATTTTGTTTTAATTTCAATTATAAGAGTCTATTAAAAAGTGTGTTAGAAAGTATGCTGTTAATACTCTTTAGTCACTATGGTAAACTGATTTGCTAAGGTCTCTCGGCCACTGATTTTTTCATGAAAAATATGCTCTGAAACACAACATTATCAAAGCTGATGAGCCAGACCTTGAATCTCAAAAACCAATGTTGAGCATGGGTGAGGAAGGACACCCTTCATCAGAAAATAAATTGCAACCTCAGAATTCTGACACTACCACAGTTTTATTTTATTTTTTAGAAACGCCTTTATGGAAAACTTCTTCACCAAGATGAGCAAGGAACTCTTAATAAAGAACCAATTACATCAGATTCATAATCGAGTAAAAAAATAGTTCTTAGCTCATAACTTTTTTTTTTAGTAATAACTTAACTTATAGATAATGATTTATATGTGATATGATCTTATAGTAAATGATTGATAGCTTATACTTAGGGTTAGTAGTTTATGAATTGCATAATCACTTCAATAAAAATATTTCCGTGTAAAATTAGTTTTTAATCAATTTGTATTTATAAGTTGATTTATATTTTAAACTCTTTTAAAATCAAATTTTAATTTTAGAAATAAAATAATTTTTTATATCATGAAGAAATATTATTTTTATTTTTGGATTTCTTTTCCAACAAAATAAATTATTTTCAAAATGAATATTTTTTTATATCCGGTAAAAAATATTTATAAATAGTTTTTTTTCAAAATAATTAGTCAAATAATTTAAAGTAGTGTTAATTTAAATTTAATTAATTGAATTGTTTATAATATGCAGTTTAGTTTATTAATTATTTAAATGGGTCAATTTTTTTTATTAAGTACACTTCAATTTAGGTATATAATATAGTTAACCATATTGTTGTACATTCCTAATTTATACTCACTACATCCTAAATTATAAAATAAAAGGTTTGGATATTTCAAACAAATTAAAAAACATAATTAATTTTGTATAATGTTTTTTAATGTATATCTTTACAACAACATCTTATATTAATTACATTAAAAAAAGAAATTAAAAGAGCTGGAAAAAAATAATAATAAATACTAGCAAATATATTAAAAAAAAATTAATGATTCACTGGAATTGTAAAATTTGTTATAATTTTTTTTACATAATAATTTATTATTTAGGACGGAGTTGATAGTAGATAAATTAATTAAAATGTTCCATAAATTAATCATTAGTTCATAAACTTAAAATAACATTTAATAACAAAAATTGTTGAAATGCACTAACTTTAGTCCTACTAACTTTAGTCCTACTATTTTACATGTATTTCAATAATAAGTTATTCATGTAATTAATTACCACTACTTACTTTTGTGAAAATTAGTTTAAACTTTATATCAAAATTAAAGATAATAAAATCAAAGGTTTTGAACAAAATAGTGCCTAAGATATTAAAATCAAAGGTATTGAAAAAATCATTACCTAACATTTAAAAATAAAAGATTTTAAAGAATTCAGAACCTAAAAATCCCAAATCAAAGGTTATGAAGAAAGTAGAACTTAATACCTATAGACCAAAGGTTCCGAAGGGTTCAGATGTCTAAACTTATCTAAAACAAAACTTTTATAAGCAAAAAGTATGGAATAAATATATACCCTTCTAGAAAAAAAAAGGCTCAAAATAAAAGAAAGCATGTTAGAACTAACAATAGAGGACCTATAAGAGTATGAGTACCTAAATCTTAAATTGTTTTTGTTGTAGATATGTCTAAAGGGCGAAACAAGGCAGCAAGCATGGTATCTGGATAGTGACTGCTCACGGCATATGACGGGAGGAAAACTTATGTTTCAAACCCTAACTCTGAAGAAGGAAGGCAGTGTGAGGTTTGTAGGAGGACAAAAAGGGTAGATTATTGGTATGGACATTATTGGTAACTCACTAATCTCTGCCAATAATGTTTGGTTTGCAGGTGGACTTAAATATAACCTTTTGAGCATAAGTCAATTTTGTGACAGTGGTTATGAAGTTTTGTTTGATAAGAACTTCTGTTTAGCTATCAATGAGTTTGACAAATCCATTATGTTCAAAGGTAAGATGAAGAGAAATGTTTATAAAATTAACCTTTCTGAATTGACTGAACAAAAAGTTGTTTGCCTTATGTCAGCGAGTGATGAAAAATGGGCCTGACACAAAAGGTTAGGTCATGCTAACTGGGGGTTGATCTCTAAACTTAGCAAGCTAAAACTTGTTAAAGGGATTCCAAATCTTAATTATCACTCAAATTCTCTTTGTGGAGCATGTCAAGTAGGAAAGATTAACAAATCTTCTTTCAAATCCAAAAACATTGTCTCAACCTCTCGACCATTAGAGTTATTTCACATTGATTTATTTGATCCTATTAGGATTGCTTCAATCATTGGGAAGAAGTATGGATTGGTCATTGTTGATGATTACAACAGATGGACTTGGGTTAAATTCCTCATGTCAAAAGATGAATCATATAAAGTATTAAGTATCTTCTGCACACAGGTTCAGTATGAAAAGGAACTAAAAACTCTAAAAGGCAGAAGCGGTCATGATGGTGAGTTTGAAAACGATCCTTTTGAAATTTTTTGTGATGAACATGGAATTATTCATGAGTTCTCTTCTCCTAGGACTCCACAACGAAATGAGATTGTAGAAAGAAAGAACAGATAATCGCAAGAAATGGTTACAACCATGATCTATGAAAATCATCTTTTTAAATACTTGTGGGCTGAAGCTGCTAATACTTCTTGTTATGTTCAGAATAGGATCTATATCAGACCAATTCTAAACAAAACTTCATATGAGTTGTTTAAAGGAAGAAATCTAAGCATATCTTACTTTCATCAGTTTAGGTGTCATTGTTACATTCTGAACAATAAGGTCTACCTAAATTTTTTGATACTAATGCTCAAAAGGGTACCTTTTAGGATATTTTGATCGCTCTAAAGAATATAGAGTGTATAACTCTGAAACCAAAATGGTTGAAGAGTCTATACATGTCAAATTTGATGAAAAAGGATATGGCCATGATACGTTAGAGTTTATTGCAAGGTTTGCAGATATTCAGGTTTCTAAAGAACATCTAGAGAATGGATCTTTAGAAGTTAGAATCTCAAAAGTGAGAGGCTTAGAAGCTGTTGAACCAGAAGCTGGCCATATGTGTGAAGCTCTTCTAAAAGTGGCAGATTCAGAAAAAGCATAAGATGGTTCAGAAATGTCTACTCAACCCAAGAAATGTTTTAACTATAAAGATTCTCATCCAGAAGATCTAATAATTGGAAATAAGGATGATCCCTTAAGAACTAGATCAGCTTTCAAAGATGATAATTGCATGGTAGGATTTATTTCCTTGATTGAGCTAAGTTATATGGATGAAGCTTTATCAAATGATGGATGGATTAGGGCCATGCAAGAAGAGCTGAACTAGTTTCAAAGGAATGATGTTTGAGATCTGGTTCTAAGACCAAGTCAGAAGAACATTATTGGAACAAAATGGGTGTTCAAAAACAAACTGAATAAGCAAGGAGAAATGGTAATTAATAAGGCTCGACTGGTAGCTCAAGGTTATAATCAATAGTAAGATATAGATTTCTCTGAAACCTTTGCTCCTTGGCAAGGTTATAGACAATCCAACTTCTTATCTCTTATGTTGACAATCCAACAAATATGGGACTTCTTTATAAGAAATCCCTAGATTATAAGCTGGTTGGATTCTATGATGTTAACTATGCTAGGGATAAAATTAAGAGAAAGTACACTAGTAGAAACTGTTAATTCATAGGTGAAAACCTAATATCCTGGGCTAGCAAGAGACAAGCAACTATTGCTCTCTCTACAGCAGAAGCAGAATACATCTATGTTGCTAAGTGTTCCACACAACTATTCTGGATGAAATATCAGCTAGAGGATTATCAGATTTGTGGAAACAATATCCATATCTTCTATGATAATACTGTTGCTACTTATCTAATAAAGAATCTAGTTCAACACTCCAGAACTAAATGTATTAAAATTAAACATCACTTCATAAGAGACAAAGTTCAGAAGGGAATTATAGATATTAAATTCATTGATATTGATCATCAATAGGATGACATATTTACAAAAACCTTAGCTATTGAAAGATTTGATTTTATCCAGAAGAATCTGAACATGGTCTATATTGAAGAATAATGATTGTATTTGTTTAAAGTATCAAAGTGTGATGTTTCTCAAAAGTAGCTTCAATCAGAGTCTAGGAAACTGTCTCTGATCAAGAGTGACTTTTGAAAAATATCAGACTCTGAGACTCTGGAGGTGGATTATTTGCTTTAGATAGCATCCACATGTCTGACAATTATCTTGCACAATAGCTGTTTGGGTAAAGAATGTTTGGTAATGATGTGAAACTTCTTGATTTCTATGAAACTGCCCCTCTGTAATCACCTCATGTTTTCCTACTTGTTTATTTATTTTTATTGCTTTTCTTTGTAAAGATAATCCTTGAAGTGGTTTTAAAGCAAAGATAATTGTTTTGAATCTTTCTGACAAATCATTGTCTACATCTTTGGAAATTTCTTTCAGTTTATTTGCATCATTCTTCTCTTTCTTGAGTCATTCCATGTCTAAGATAGCCTTTATATCTAATATTGGCATGGAAAACCACTTGGTTGTCATCATTAAAGGACTAGTTGATTTTGAAGAGATGATGGCTCATGGCTTTGATCTTCAAAGTAA